CCCCCCCCGCACCCTGCCGGCCCAGCATCGCCTGCGCGGTGTGGTTGGGGATGCTGGCAACAGAAGAGACGCGGTGGGGGGACCGGAAGAGAGCCAGAGGGAGGAGGGCCGGCCAGGCTGGCGGGGTGGGGGGGGTGGTTCAGAAGGGAAAACAGAGCCGCCCTGTGGAGCGGCCAGGGTCAGGAGTCAGGCACAGAGCTCGGCTTCATCTCTGCAGTGGGAGTTCCGTGAACCCACTCCTCTGGCAGCATCTGTGAGAAAAATACCGCAGGTTAGCAAAGCAGCTGGTGTTTCTATGCGGCTTTGTGGTGACGGCAAAGGCTGCCGGGTTCCCAGGCCTGCTCGGGCCTCGGCTTCCTCGGGATAAAGGCGACAGTGTATGCAGTGCAGCCGAGAGGCCGGGGCTGCCAGGCTGCCCGTGGGGCTCTTGGGTGCTGGTTCCTGAGAAAGGGGCCCATGGAACCCACCAGAGCCACCACACATTGGGCCTCTCCTGGCACGTTGGCACCGTCCGGTTCTCACGAGCACCCCTGGGTCACCCAGCCTGGCTGAGTGGCGCTCGCGCTGCCTCTGCCTTAAGCCCCTCAGTTTTCCTGCAGCTGGGGCACAGGCCGCTTTCTCACAGCTTTTACCCCTCAACTTCTGTGGCTTCTGCTTGTCTGTCCTTTTTCAGCAAGAGCTTTGAGTCACTGTGATGATCCCAGAGTCTGGGAGCTTTGGGATTCTACCCTGTTGTCAACTGGAAACTAAGCCATCCGCTCTCTCCATGACAGCTCACCTCCTTGAGGAGCAAGGCCCCAGGCTTGTGTTTCCTATTGGAAGCAGAGCACCCCAGTGTGCCTCTAAGGAGCTCTGAGCCATGGGGTGTCTGCAAAATGCTTCCTCTTGGCTAACTAGAGTCTTGACTTCCCTCAAGGGTCCTCCTCACCCCCAAGCACTGCAGTGCCCAGAAAGGACTTCCCACTGAAGGGAAGGAGGTCGGGCGGGACATCCACCCCCGGGCTCTTCCTAGCACCAAGCTGTGTGTACGATAATAGTAGCTTTTAATACATTGATATTTAGCCTCCTGAAATTACCGAGTGATTGGAAGTGGGACTTGGGAGAACCTAGGAAACAGCAGAGCTAAGGGGAGAAGGTGCGAGAGACCCTAGAAAATCTGAGGAGGAGCAGACAGGTCACTTGTGTTTTCAACAGACATCTTGCTGAGTGGCTGCTGTGTGCCATGCACCTGAGATGCAGAGGTAAACCAAACCTTACTGTAAAATTAGCCCCTGTCATATTTTGAGACTGCTGTAAACATCCGCCTTTGCACATAGGGGACTTGGGAGAGACTTACCTCAGGGGCTTTGTCCACCCCCGAAAGAAGAAGGGTGAACAGCGCTCAGTGTATTTCTAGATGCCATCAGTGTGCAAGCAGCAGGAGTGGGCATCTTTCGCAGGGAACTGGCTCCATCTCTCAGGACCCGCTTGATGAAGCCCTCCTTCTGTTCGGTCCTCCTTCTGTTTCACAGGTCGAGGGGGGAAGATGGGCTTTACTTGTTCCTCAGGGGCACTTCTAGACCATCTTCTACCAAGTTCACTGAAAACCCCATTTCTTTTAAAGGCCATGCCATCTACTCGTGCTCCACTCCACGCACCCCTCTCATTTTACGGCCTTCAGCACTTAGGGCTCCATTTCTTAATTCTGCCCCATTCCCTCCCACATCTGAACCTTCCTGCCCCTTAACCTTGGCCTCCGTGCCAAGCCCTGCCACTGCCAGGGTTCCCTCTCCCAGCCCTTGAGGCCCCAGACCTTTTTGATCAAAGTCATACCTCCCTCTCCCTCCAACCTTTTATTCCAGTGAACTTGTCTTTCCTCCTCATTGTGGCTTCCTGTAATCTGCTGGCCTCCTGGCCAAATATTTGAGTCATCCACCTACCTACCCGCCCATCCATCACTCATCCATCCAGTAGAGGAGCCCCTGATCGGTGCAGACCCTCCATTGCCAGGCCCAGATCTGACTGAACTCCTCTCCCCAGGCCTGCTCCCTGTGCCTCCCAGTGTCAGACAAAGCCGCAAATCCCTAGTGACCAAGTTTGCAGCCTTCTCTGAAAGTTGGAGCGACCTCAGCAGTAGAACTTTCCATGCCTGGTGTTTTCATTAGTGGTAGACTTTTAACTACCTCTCATTTTCTTCTCTGGTGATTTGTCTGTATGGATTTTCTGCCTCTTCTTGGATCAATTTTGGACATTTACATTTTGCTGGAAATCTATCCAGAGTTCCTAGCCTTTAAAGTACTACCGTAGAGTGGCACATAGTGACCCATAACTGTCTACTTTCTTCTGCATCTGTGCTTGTTGTCTCCTTCATTTTCTAAGACTTCCATTTGTGCAGAGATGTGGCATTCAGCTCCAACTGCCCTTCGCCCATTGGCTATGCACACATTGACTCAGTGCATCTTTGCAACAATCCCAAGCATGAGGAAGGCTCCCCTTAAAACGTTTAAAACCACGTAGACATGGAAAAGTCAAAAATCAACAGATTTGATGTCATTACTTCTTCTTTTTTAATTTATTTTTTATTTTTTTGGCTGTGTTGGATCTTCATTGCTGTGCAAGGGCTTTCTCTAGTTGCAGCGAGCGGGGGCTACTCTTCGTTGCAGTGCATGGGCTTCTCATTGCAGTGGCTTCTCTTGTTGCGGAGCACAGACTCTAGGCGTGCAGGCTTCAGTAGTTGTGGCACGCGGGCTCAGTAGTTGTGGCTCACGGGCTCTAGAGCACAGGCTCAGTGGTTGTGGCACTCGGGCTTAGTTGCTCCGTGGCATGTGGGATGTTCCTGGGCCAGGGCTCAAACCTGTGTTCCCTGCATTGGCAGGCGGATTCTTAACCAATGTGCCACCAGGGAAGTCCCTCATTACATCTTAGTATATCTCTAAGGAAAAGACATCGTAAGCAAAGATAAAAGACAAATAACAGACTGGGGAAATGTTTGCAACATACCTGACAGGTAAAAAGAATCAGTACCCAAAATGGGCATCTGCAGATCACAGGCAAAATGCTGGATGGTGCGTCCAGGAGAAAATCCACAGAACTGATAAGGGTATGGACGCCACGCATCTCTGCAGGAGTCTGAGGCGGGCAAGTAAGTCAGCATCAAGTTTACGCCCAGACTAAAAAGTCCCACCCTCATTGTCCAGGAGAGTGTGGGGGTCACCCTGCCTCTGTGGGAACCTTCCCTGGTGAAGCCTTTTTGGAGGGCAGTTTGGCTGCATCTCTCAAATTTTTTAATGTTCATACCCTTTGAATAAGCTACTCTTCCCCTAGAGATTCTTTTAAAATATTTTCTCACAAATCTGAAAAAGTTGTACATACAAGCATATATATATATATATATATATATATATATATATATATATTTTTTT